TGGTTTTACTTGCATTTAAATATTTAGTATATATAAAATTAGAATTTAGATTGTTTAGAAGTAATTAAACTAAAAAAAAATATTTTTTTTAACTATTCGTTTCGCTTCTCGCCTAAGCGTTAGGAGCTTTAATCACTTCGGTTCGCTTTACGTCTTAAATAACACTAGCCCCATAAAGCACAATAACATCTCAGATTAATTTCCGCTCAAAAATCCATTCCAAACATTCCTCCCGAAAATCCTTTCTAGAAGAGACTATCATGAAAGGTCCAACCCTGGTTTCGAAACCTGTAGAACTCACAGGATGTTGTCTTGTTTGTTTTTGGATTCAATGCATATTGAGTGGGATTATGATAACGTGTGGGATGACAGATTCTCGATTCAAACTAATCACTCGAAATATCAATTTCAACCTCTTAAGGATGACAAGCCTCAACAAATTTTGGAAAGATTTTAGGAGGAGCATCAGGAAGGGACCAACTAGCTGCTATGTGCTGATTAGCTTAGTGGCAGGCGCAACTTTTCAAATTGAATGTTGTTACCTTTGTAACAAGGTTAAATACCAGGGGTAAGGCTCTAGGTCCCTGTATTAATTTTTTGCTTATGAATAAAGTTTTTCTTCTCTTAAGTGAGGTTTTTTTTTTAAAAAAAAAAAAATAGAAGATTAGAGTTTATGTTCCATTATTCAATTCAATAATCAAAGATACAAATTTAATTCAATTCATTCTCCAATTGACATTTTTTTTTTGTTAGTAAGAACAAGAATTCATGCAATTTCTAGAGAGAACATACAGATGGAGCGTATAAACTAATATCTCACAATTAGTATTTCAAAAAGTATCCAAACAACTAAATATGAAATTTAAGATGAAGGTAGACAAAACATATTTACACAGTATAAAGGATGATGTCATCCGGGAATCAAGGGCGAGAATGGATTTTCCAGTTATAACAGAGCTAAATACAATGAAACTGAAAATACAAACCACAATGGTTCTTCTAGCAGCAAAAAAAAAGTGGGATACTTGCTATGGCGCCAATTAAGAACATTGCTCTAGAATTAGAGATGATGAGTGAAGAGAAGAATTGCTTCTCAAGAGCGTTGTGAATGTACAATACATTAAAAAGGGAAATTCTATGAGACAAATGCAGGTGCTATGCCCCATGAGATGAATGTGAGACTTAAGAAATAGTGCAGTCACTAGTCAAGAACTGGTTGCAGGTTGCCTTTAGAATGAGGGCATGAAAATCAATAAGCAACAATATTAAGAAACAACGACGGTGTGGTTATAATGAAACATAAGCATTACTTTCTACCCTATATAAGCACCAAAGAATTTCTATTCCAAGATGTCATGCTCAAAGTAACCATTATAAATGCAAATTTGGATACATTCCAGATGGAGCAACATTTTATCATTTAATAATATGGTAAACTTTGGTGTTCACATTATAACATTTTACTGAAATGTGAGAATTGAGACAACCAAAAGGAAAAATACTAAATTAGACAACATATCATGATTGATGTCACCTGTTTTAACAATATAGGTAAATATTGAGCTCTGTTTGGAATCTCTTGGTTTGCAACTGCATAGTCTATACCTCTGTATTAGTCAAAATTATCTAGTCAGTTACGCAGCAATAACATGGGGTAACACTCAGAAGAAACAGGCCTAAGGGGCAATGGCCAAAGTCATATTACTACCTTTTGTAGACATAACCATGCACAAGAAGGGCCACAACAAATCAATAACACTAATGTAAAAGCAAGAGTATCTAGAAAATGATAATTTGAAACCACGGATCCCATTTGGCAATGGGTGGATATCCCACTTAAGTTAGTTCTTGGGTTGTACTCAAAAGGAAGAGTACATCCATCCCTGCTATTAATAAAAGGACAGGGTGGGATTTGGTATCCTCCCCCTTTATTGGTACTTGTTAGTTGTTAATTACAAGTCTATTACTGATATCACATGTTTTCTTTCGTTTAATCACCTGTAAGGTTGTAACTTCTCCTTTAATCAAATTTAACCACCTAAATTTATCTATTTCAATCCATTCCCATTTTCTTCAATAAGAGCCGTGTTTCTCTTTCTACTTTCCCTATTTACATTTTCATGTAAAAGAAGGGGCATTCTGTTACAAGCTCCCCCAAATCCCAATCCAGATTCAAATTTCAATGACTTCTTTATACTGCCAGAAAAATTCTCAACAATTTGCAGTTCAACTAAACCCTGTAGAAGGTGTCCACCATCAAATTAGAGCAACTAATAAAAAATTAAATAGAGATATACTGGAAGCATGCGTAAACGGAAACCTATAGAAAAACTGGTTTTAAAATCCAAACGCGCCACATTTAAGCAGATAAAAAAAAAGATTGCAGCAAAAAGACCTGGCAAGAGAGACGCAGAGATTGAAGAACTCAACGGCATCGGTTATTGGCGTACCGCGAACATGCATAGCCAATCTGTCGGCGACGGCGGAGATTCCCAAGGAGTTCACATACGAAGCATTGTTGCCTCCATTACTCATGTCCATCACGGTCGCCGGCACCGGAGTCACCACCGTCTCGGCCAGTTACTCAGATTCTCACTTGCTCTTCTCTATCTCTCTCTCTCTCTCTCTCTCTCTCTCTCTCTCTCTCTCTTTTCGTGTGTTGCTCGGTTGCCTTTTTTCCGGCGAGTGTTTTTTCCAGTTTCTTAATTTCTTCATTCACTTTATCTTTCCACTTCCCAGAGATGAAAATCTGAGAGCATTAACTGACAAAGGAAAGCGTTGTTCTTGAGGCCTACTTTTGGACAAAAAGGACCGATGGTTGCTATATTTACGGGAATACCTGTCTGGTATTCCCGTAAATTCGTTTGATGTTAAGGCAATATTGAGGAGAGCGGCGATGGTAAAAAGCTAAAAATGGTATAAAACCGGATTCGTTGTCAGTAGAAATGGTTACGTGGCAGTAGCTTATTCAAGGAAATGATGATTCAGTATACAGTTTGACGTGGCTTTCTTTCTTCTTTCTTTTTTTTTTCTATTGAAAAATACACTTCCACCTCTTAAAGTTTGTCAAAATATGAAAAATAACCATTAATNGCTAAAAATGGTATAAAACCGGATTCGTTGTCAGTAGAAATGGTTACGTGGCAGTAGATTATTCAAGGAAATGATGATTCAGTATACAGTTTGACGTGGCTTTCTTTCTTCTTTCTTTTTTTTTCTATTGAAAAATACACTTCCACCTCTTAAAGTTTGTCAAAATATGAAAAATAACCATTAATGTGATTTTCAAATAAGTTTGAATTAGAATTTCAGCGTATTTAGTTTTGACAATCATACATTTTCCATGGCATAAAATAGTCATGTTAGCAAAGTGTTCAAAAACGTAATGATCGGTCTTAAGTCATTGAAAAATCCAAAGAAGTATACAGCATCGACCATGTAGCCAAAATTAAATTTTTTATTGCATACTTGTGAATACGACAAAATATGTCGAAGACGTATTAATATTTAGCGCAAATATAAAACATGTCTGAGACGTATTCATGCAACAAGCTCGTCACCCATTCCAATGTGCTCGACTTTATGTTGTATCANAAACGTAATGATCGGTCTTAAGTCATTGAAAAATCCAAAGAAGTATACAGCATCGACTATGTAGCCAAAATTAAATTTTTTATTGCATATTTGTGAATACGACAAAATGTGTCGAAGACGTATTAATATTTAACGCAAATATAAAACATGTCTGAGACGTATTCATGCAACAAGCTCGCAACCCATTCCAATGTGCTCGACTTTATGTTGTATCGACCTGAACAAATTTTGGAGCGCATTGAACTTCCTCGGCCCAGGGATTTGGACTCTTTACTCTTGGATGCTGCCAAGCCTGTTTTACCTTCAAGGAATACCTCCGATCCATCAGGCAAGCCAGTATCACGCCGAACTGGCTTGCCACATTTTCCCTGGTCATATACTACCGGTGGGTATTGCAAATCTACCGCTGACGCAACGAAATTATTTGCCAGTAGGTGATGATGCGGGTTAAAAAATGAGATTAAATAACAAAAATTGTAATATGTTAATTATCGCAATAATTTTCGATTAAAGCCGTTAAAAAACTTTGTTGATTCACGAAGAATACCAAGTCAAATGAAAGAAAAGAGAAATTGTTGTACANCGCTGACGCAACGAAATTATTTGCCAGTAGGTGATGATGCGGGTTAAAAAATGAGATTAAATAACAAAAATTGTAATATGTTGATTATCGCAATAATTTTCGATTAAAGCCGTTAAGAAACTTTGTTGATTCACGAAGAATACCAAGTCAAATGAAAGAAAAGAGAAATTGTTGTACGATAAAATGCTGAATTAGTCTTATACATCCTTTAAATACAAAACCGTATTAGTCTTAAATTACCAAGAAACCCTAACAAATTACGAAATATTAAATAAATATTCTAAACAGTGAGATAGAATATAAAAATCCTTAAAAAGTGGTATAAACGTCGTTTTTTGATTTCAAAACGACGAATTAAAAGATACACCTTTCAATCTTACTCGTCTTGTCGAGAGTTGGTCTAAATAAATTTTTTGACANGAAACCCTAACAAATTACGAAATATTAAATAAATATTCTAAACAGTGAGATAGAATATAAAAATACTTAAAAAATGGTATAAACGTCGTTTTTTGATTTCAAAACGACGAATTAAAAGATACACATTTCAATCTTACTCGCCTTGTCGAGAGTTGGTCTTAATAAATTTTTTGACGCCATCATCTTAAACCAATCCTACTCCCGATCAACCCTATTTTTGATGGTCTTGACCCGCCATATAATGGTGTGGTAAACGTGCTGCATCAGTAGGACCATGTGCCAAGATAGATGGGTAAAAGCATGCAGCATTCTTAATTATCTCGAGGGCAAACCTGGTTTCCTGGAACTTTGAATCTCTCACTTACGATCACACTCTGGTTCCTTCAAGCGGTTTAGTGTCTGGAGCTTCAGAAGTTTCAAATGCCGAATCCTCATCCCTGTTTGCTTTATTTCCAGGGGTTCATCAACTGCAAAATGCTTAGCTTCCCTGGTTCCTGAAGGTAAATGTCTTTAAGGGTCTAGTTTGCACGAGTTCCTATCATACTTCAACATTTATGTCACATATATGCATATATTCTTTTGACTTCCACCTCAAGGGGGGCATAACTGAGGATATTTTTAAAATGATAAACTACAATGACCCCCCGATGAGGGTATATCCTTTATGTTGTATTGTATCGACCATTCTGATTTCTGACATTTCTAAGAACGGCACCCCCCAACCTTGTCAGGATGGTCGATGCTATGTCGCCATTGAAGAAGCCAAGAATGTCTGTGGATGAGAAGCATGATGGATTCAAGGGCCCCATTGCAGAGACAACATTGCAATTCCAACATTGTAAAGAAGTCATTTATGTAGTCAAGAGCCATTGAGAAATCTTGTAGTAGTCAGCAGAATCCGAGGAAATTATCACCCACCTGTTGGGATATGCCAGGCAAAAAACTGTAGTGATCAACGCGGTGAATGTGTTGTGTAATTTATTTAATAAATCAATAAAATAATGGAAAAAAAATAATTCTTGCACTATTAATTTCTTAAAACAAAGACCCAAGAAATTAGACTCAAAAATAATTTGCCTTAAAATCACAATTTATGAAATATAAATAAATGAACGATCTCACCAAACTATAGATCAAGCTGAAGCTTTGTCCTTAAAGGTTGATTCACGCCCCTCGAAATAAATGACTCAATGTGATAGGTCCT